AAAATCTTTAAATCGATGCCACGTGAATGGTTTTTAAAACGGTTCTTTTCTATAAATGCCAATTTGACAGAAAGTTTGGATGGCCGCTTCCTCCGAAAAAAGCAGTGCTCCTCTTTAGAGCAGGCTGCACAAAACACACAGGACTGTCGTACTCAAAGGCTCAACAGGATACGGTGCAGTGAGAAGATACAAAACTAAAAGTTTTGGTGGAATGGGCAGGCTTTTGAAATACAGACTTATGTCATGCTTGATGCAATTTCAGTAAAACTTTGCTCCAAATGTAAGCTGAGGCCTATGTTCAATTCTGTTTTTATACTCACCCTGTGGCATATAAGAAAATATTTGACCTAGATTCCAGCATCTGAAAAAAAAAAAAAGAAACCAAAAAACCCAGGACAGAAGCTAGGAGATAAGTTTAAATGTGAAGGAGTAAAGCAACTCAACAGAATAGATTATTATTAGCTCACTGTACAGGGACCCATTTCAGCCCTACAGCCAGGATTTTCTGCAGTTTGCAATCACATCAGTTTCTGAAGGGAGAAAAAGGGCAAAGTGGTGGCACAACTTGTAGGCCTTTCACCAGTGAGGGAAAGGCATCTGAATTACGTCTGGAAACTGGAAGAAAAGAAATAAAATAAAATGTCAGGAAAGCGGTGGACGGCAACTCTGCTGCAGATTAACTCAGAGATCCCCAAATACTGTAATGATTTACGTCTAGACACTGGATTTATTTAACCAAATCCTATATCTGAGTTTCATGTTTGTGTAAACTGAGGAGTTTGAAAGTCAACTGTGAGGTTCTAGCACATCTCAAAATGTGACATGGGGACACATGATACCTTACAAAATGCAGACCATGGAAATTAAAATACTCTGTTCCTGTATGTCCATGTACTCATTTAAAATCAATTTTTAATATCATTCTAGTTGAGGCTTGTTACTTACATTTTTCTGTTTCAGTCACTTTATCAGTAGGTGGCAGTAATAGATGACCCCGTGCAATTTTTACTTCATAATAGGATTTTAGGAAAGAAAATGCCCGATTTTAGGGTAAAGCAGTTTAAATCTCATGTTGTTTATTTACAAATTTGAGTGATGAAACTGTATTTGATAACCTCAACCAAGCCTCTTCCTCTCAACAAACAGAAAAGTCATTCCTGTATTAACTCTGGTATTAATGGCTACATTAAAAGTCACTGTCCCATTAGCTCCCTTGCTACACGATACTCAAGGCTTCTGCTCAGAGCCCCTCTGAACCAGTAGGGAAATCCTCCTGGGTTTACTTTTGTGTCACTGACACCAAAGTTTGTATTTATTTTAATGTGTAGGCTGACCTACAGATTAATTTAAGCTTTCCTCCAGTATTTCCCCTCCTTCCTCCACAATTTTGTAGAAGCTGCTTAAAAAACTTGCCTATTAGCATTAGCTAAGCAGCCTGCTACTAATTTAATACCTTGTGTAGGAAGGAGGATTTGGCATGTAATGGAGAAATGGGAAATAGTTTTCTGTACTGAAATGATGAATATAAGCCAAGGAGATGAATCTAAGGAATGCAAAACAGCCCACAAATACTACGCCAATACTACGGATACACTATAATTTACCATTAACTTACCATTGGGAACTCTTACTCCATCACTGCAGCAGACACTAGGATAATATGAAGAATGAGTTGATAGTAACATGTCACCTCGAATCCAACTTCTCTTCTTAAAGTTCTCGTTCCGTGGGGTGACAGCCGCACCTCGCGCTGCTAGCAGTGAGCAGGCATTGTTTGCTGGGCCTGAAACACAAAGCGACAAGCCCAACGGTACATGAAATAAAACTCAGACAGCACCGAATAAGAGACTGGCTGGGTAACCCGGCTGCTTTTCTTTCTTTTTTTTTCTTTTTTCACTGAAGTCAGTGGGAATCAAGTCAGATGGTTTGATGAAAATAAAAGGTCATTGCTTCAGAAGATAGCTTACTCTTGGAGAGTCCATTATGCTGTTTTTTTTTTTTTAATATGTGGTACTTTATGATAGAACAAGTATTTATTTTTAGAAAAATGTTCAAAAACTTTCAGATATTTGCAAGTAGTGTTGGAGGAAGGTGTTTGAGCATTAAACTAGAGTAACAAGAGCAGTCTATCCAAACCACTGCAAATGTCAAAACAGCAAGAAATATAACAACAAAGACGTGTGATGGTTTGGAGGGCATGGACAAAGAGACAGTGTTTAAAATGTTGATTTCTGGATAAAGCTGGCATGAAATAAGAACAAATCTTACCATTTGCTCCAGAGAATCTTGTTTTATTGAATAAAGGCACATATTGCTATGTGATCCAAAGCTATAAAAATTATTTTGAACTAGTGATCTTCCATGCCTCTTTTCAAATTGGCAGTTTGTCAGCAGTATCTATCTATCAAAAAAAGTGGTAAATAAGGTCCCTGTAAATAAGGCTGTCCTGTTTTCCATGAAGGTGATATCTGCTATAAAAATAGACAATATATGCTGGCTGCTTTCTTTTTTTAAAGGATAGAAGCACAAAAACATCTTAATAGATATAAAATGAACTATTTGATTATGTTGTGGACTAATGAAAGAAACCACACATAAGATTCAGCTATTAAAGTCTGACATCTTATCCTTTCACAAATAATTCAAGAAAAGCTTTGAAGAAAAACCTCGTGCTCCAAACCACAAACCCTCAAGCACAAAACATGCTTCTTAAGACTGAAAAAGCTGAATTTTTGTAGGTAGAGCTTTTATTACGAGTGATACTCAAAGCCGCTGTGAAACGTTCATTGAAGGCCTCGGTGCCGCTGTTGAGGGAAGCGGAAAGCGAGCGGCCTGCAGCCTGGCAACGCGCCGTGGAGGGTCTGGCATTGCGGACGGGCCGCAGGGAGGCTCCTGCAGGGCCTCGGAGAGGGCGGCCGCCCGCCCCGCGCCCCCCCGCCCCGGAAGCCCACGGCCTCAGCCCTCCGCGCGAGGGCTAACGGACACGCTGCCATGGCGACCGCAGCAGTAACGGCGTCACTGAGCGCGTCGGGAGGGCTCCCCGAAGAGCCTCGTTAGCATTTTGCTGCTTCCTCTGTAAAAAATGATTTTAAAACGCCGTTTTTATTTCACTGTCAAAAAAATAGCTATTAGGTCAACTAAAGCCTATTTCTGTACCCCCAAAATAAAGCTGAACACACCAGGCATTAACAAATATTCCTGTTAGAAGTTAGGAAGAGGAATTTAAAACTGAGAAGTTTGAAATGCAAACCAACATAGAGAACCTAGACAAGAAAATTCTACTTTCTTAAGTACACATATTGTATCCTACAATCCTAGTTAAGCAAGACATTTGAATGTTTCTCAGAATAGCTACTGGGAAGCTGCTCTGTGCCTACTGGACTACTGAAGTTCTCAGTTACCAAATCTTCAAATTAAAGATGCCACAAAAAATGACTGGTTGCAAGGAATATATTTCTTAATATTACAAGAAGTAAATTAACGGGGAGGTTCATTTTACAACAACTCTGGTGAATGGGCTGGCCTGTGGCAAATCCATCTGTCTTGTCTGATCAGACTGGTGGCTGAACATAGCTGCCTGCATCGCGTTACCGAAGCTGAGTGGGAAAGCAAGCGCTGCCTCCACAGTGAAGGTGTCCGGTATTTCTGCTGTACAAAACAGAGCAACAAACATTGATGGAAATTGCTAAAAATACACTGAGAAAGAATATGCACTGTGGGCTAAATTCGAAAGATTTAATTCATCAACCTGACCTTTCCTTAGCATCCAAATTTAGGTGTTTCCCCGAGATGCTCAGTTCCTTGACAATCCTTTGCTTTGCAGTTTTTTATGGCACTTATGAAATCCACATCTCTGCACAGGAAATATGGTTATGGATGGTTGCTCGGAGCCTGGTCTCATTCAGACTGGTAGAGCTCTCCAGAGAAATTATCTTCAGCACGATGCGTATGGCCCAATTTCAGAGGTAGGTATGGCCCAATTTCAAGGAGTGTTTCTCAGACTGAACCCCAGCACTGAGGAACCCAAAGGTGTAACTTCCAGAACACCGATACGAAATCCATCAGTGAGGGAACTCTCCTCATGTGTCTGGCTCAGAGCCACATTCTCACAATACTCACCACCCCTTTGGAACAGGGATGCACATCCAAACTTTCACTATCACAGATTAAGGTCCACCATGCAAAGCTACAGCCGTAAACTTAGTTGAACACCCCACTGGGCCAAGGACATATTTCAATTTGTACAACCAAGTATTTATGGGGGTGCAGGGGGAAGGCTGTGTTCCTGCTGCTGGCACAGTGTTCTCAGTGTGTGTTCCAGAATAAGCTGCATTTCCATTGCCTGGCATCCTCACAAAGTCTCTCTCTCCTGGGCAAAGGCGTAAACACAGAACTGCCGAGAAAATGGAACCCTCCTCCCTGCATTGATCAGGGTGGAGTTTAAGCCCTTCCCTGAGACTTGCAAGAACAGCCCATATATTGCAGTTCAGTTTACCTTCTAAAGTAATTTGAATCATTACTCAAAATAAATTACGAGCAGCCACGTATTTTTTCTACAGCTTTATTGATGCAGTGCTAGTAGGTAACTATACATCTTCATTTTGTTTACAGTTACAATGTTGCCTTACTAAGACTGTTTTTGTAGTCAAGTTTATTATAGCATTCACTAACGTATTTGTAAATATCATATATTGCAGAGTGCTGATTATTACAAACATCGTAAATCGCTGTCATTTTTTTTCTAAAAAGAGCTACTTCAGGAAAGGTCACACTACTCTTGTAAAATAAATTTGTAAAGGAAAATGAAGCAAATAAATTCACCTTCCAAAGAAAATGAGAATGTTAAAAATAGCTTCGGAGTCTGTATGACTCATTTAGGTCTCAGAAAAATCTATGACTGGCAAAGAAATCTACAATTTGATATTGTACTCGATACTTTCATTAAGGCCAAAAGAATCTTTCTGAAGCACTGAAATTAAATTTGTTAATTGGCCTTCAATTTGTTAGGAGTCAATTTTATTTATCATAAAATGCACTACCTCCTAAAATACTGTAATTATGGGTTTCCTATTGATAATTGAAGAAAAAATACAAAGAATTAGAGCATGCATCACTGGTAACAAATTTTAACAAAAGACATGTTAACTGAAAACTGACTCAAAGGATCGTACAAAAGAGTTTCTTCTCCCTAAAGGGATTTTCAGATGCAGGCACTGGAATAATAAGGGGATCTTCTCCAATATGAGCATCACAGTATGCCAATAAATCAGCAGCAGCCTTGGATACCTAACAGAAGATAAGAGAGAACCACTGTAAGACTTAATTCTGAATCAAGCAGCATTACACAAATATCCTTCACATAACATAAAATATAGGGAGAGCTCTCATAGAATAGGAATAGATTGCTTTTGAGTTCACTTTTCCAAGTTTGCTCTTATTAGGCCTAACCATTATGTGCATTTTATTTAATACTCTGCCATAAAATGGTATTGATTTATATGATGACTGTTTAGCTGTTCCTCTTCCACCAGCAACAAGGTCAGGAGCACACCCTGCTCGTAGGCAGGGAGCCACACGGGTCCACAACGAAGTAGGTAGTTTGTGGAGGCCTTCAGCCTCAGCTCTTCCTCCCAGCCATCAGAGAAGCAGAGTTGGAAGATCTTCCACTGAAACGTTCTTTGTTCTTCAGGCATGTTAACATGAAATTAAGAAGCAGTAACGAATCAGGAGAAAAACTTAATCATTTTGAGTCATAGCTCCCATTTAAGCTAAATACTGTGCTTTTCAATGAATTCTGCCTAATATTTTCTGTTTAGTGAGTTATTATAAGTAATGTTTTATCACATCAATTTAAATTTGATTTAAATTGCCTTTAGGCTTTTTATACTTCTTGAATAAACAGTTCTAAAGTTTCCAAAGATAGAATTCTATTTAGTTTTACCAAGAAGTCCCCCAGAAATATAACAAAACATGATAACCTTTCTGTAAATTTTGAGAATTATCCTATATTATCTAACAGAAGCCTATGACTTGTTGTCCAAGTCTATGAATGCTATTACGCGTTTTATCCAATTTGTGGAGCAGTTTTAATTCAATGTTCCCTGTTTCATGTGGCCAAATTCAATATAATTCCTATCAAGATACAGTCGCAGTCTGCCAATGCATAAGATCAGTGTGTTGGCAGTCAGGGTATTTTGCATGAAATTAAAAATGAAAACATCTTGGCTGCAGCTGAAATCTTGCAGCTTTGTGCCTTTAAAATGTTGGTGACATTCGGCTCATTGTGACTCTTGTGAGTTTTTACAAAAACTTAGAAGTCATATACAAAATATTTTTGTTCTCTCTGTTAGCAAGACAATGTTTATAACAATCTGAATCTCTTTGTTTCATTGAATTATTACATTTTCAGTATTACAAAAGATACTGAGATGGGGAGTCTTTATAAAATAATGTGTTCCTCTGAACACTGTGTCACATTCTCCTCAGTCAGACACTGAGGTTTGCATGTTCGCACAGCTGTAGTTTTACTACAGCAGAGAGCAAAAATAAATCTGCTTTCTCCATCATTAGGTGTGCCACTGCTCTCACGTAGCTTTCTTACACCCAGCTTGCTTTGGCAGGACTCCAGCTTGCAGGAGGCTTCACATCAGACCTGGGCAGTCAGTTGGTGTTGGACAGGCATTCACAGCCATTTCCTCTACTTGAAACATACGTTAAAATATGGCCTGCTGCAATTCTTAAAACCACAAAGTACTTCGGGTTGGCATCCTGGTAGAAACCAGGAGGTTTCTAGGAAGCAGAGCTGTAAGATTACTAAGATTATTTAAAATCAGCTTGACTTTGAATTAGATGGTGGTACAAGAGGGTGGGCAGAGATGTTACTGGGCCAATACAAAGCAGAAGACTGAAAACTTAACTGAGCAAATCAGCTGTTCAGAGACTCAGAAGGACCAGGGCATCTGAGAAGAGAGGCCCTCAAACAAAAATGAACTGGAGAGTCTGACTTCAAGTGTAAAGAAAGGATTTTGACTTTTTCAGACATTCTTCAATTTTTTGCTTGCTAGGCAAAGACAAAAGGATGGATTTTACTGTGTGATGGCACCGTCTGGAGCCAGAGAGGTAGAACTGTAATGGCAAAGTAGATAATTGAGATTGATATTATACTAATAATTGTCATTTAAATTTATCAGAGAATTTTAAAAAGTTGAATTCTCCAAACAGAGGCACAGTATAGACACAGCGCAGAATTCTTGCCAAGCTCAAGAAAGATCAAAGGCAGCCAACCTAACTTCTCTTTGCTAATGATCTGTGCTGTATCTCAGTAAAGTCTAAACTAACACGTTCCCAAGAGCTTCAGGAGGAATGCATACCACAGCCTTTTGGAGAAGCAGTTTCAAGCCACAAGAATCCCAATTATATTCATGCTTATTTAACACACACATTTTCACTTTTCTCTTGTCCTTCCAGATCAGCTGTCTCTTTGAAAAGACAGTTCTGTGCTCTAATTTATTACTGGTCCTGAGCTCTCATTCAAACTGAGCAAGTCAAACTCAGAGCCACAGCTGCCCACAAAAAGCTCAGTGACATTTTTAGTGCTATGTCACAATCAACTTTATTGCCCTAAAATCTAATGGAGAGCTACATTAATCCTAAAGGCCTCATAAGGAGAGGTTATTAAAGATGCCTGGGACATCCATCTTCAATTATTAAGCTGCTGAATGAGTTATTCTGTTAAAGAGACCAGAAATGTTTTTAAGAAGACGGATCCTGTAAAGGCAGGGGATCAACAATGAACTTCAACAGACTGATCTTTCCATAGCTATCTCGCTCGCTCCACGTAAGGATAAGCAGCATCAGCCTAAGTATATTGCTTTTCATTGGATGGAAGTACAATTTCAACCATAATTTTTAGAAAGGATAAACCCCATAAATATCATTACTTTTACTTGTTTCTCTACATTTTTTACTATGCTTGACATTCTGTAAGAATTGAAAGGTGTTTATCACTAGCAAAAAGCACAACATGAATATCTAACGTGTCCTCCGATATGCTGGTAGGGATGTGAAACATCACAAAGCAGAGCAAGCAGATTGTTCAACACTGCAGTGCTCAAACGACACAAACAAATGAGTTTGCTCTTCGACAAAATATAGTACAGTTTAGAGGAAAACAAACCTGCAACATATATTTCACTGTACATAGATTCACTGACTGAGTTCTGTACGTCTCAGCCACAATTAGGTCATGTATTTTCATGCTTAAAAAAAGGGTGCAGGGCTGGGGAGAAGAAATTCTCCTACATGGGACTACAGTGGTTACAGAACTCCGTTATGGCTGTTTCTTCACTCAGCTTGGGGTAGGTGATGGTTGACGCAGCCAGGTGGTGACCACTCTCTATAGAGAGTTAATTCAGCTGATGACGTTCCAGCAGCAATGAAAACATTTCTCACAAACATGGCAACTGAAGTCAGGACTGTGGCCAAAAAGGAACAAAATACAGTGTTGCCTCCGACATGTTTCCTACTCAGTATTATTCAAAACAGCAGCAGTGGAAGGCTATAGCAGAGACAACTTCTTTAGCAAATATCAGCATGCAGAGCATGCCTAACGACCAATCATGTGATCTGTTGTTATATAAAATTAGGTCTTAATCATCCTGCTTGTGCCATGGAAGAAGTTAAATGAAGACTAGTCCATCATAGCTCATACTCAGCATTAGCTTTTTTTATAGGTGAATGTTGCCAGACAGTTTCAGAATGGCTTTTACCAAGAATTAGAATAAAAATATATACTTTGAACATTCAAATTAAACTAACATGCATTAATTACTTCTGCTCTCTTACGCAATACTGCTTGACGTACTGATTCAAAGTCATTTATACACACTGTGGAAGTGGCTAAAAAAAAGAAAAATCAGACTCTGATAGATTAATTTTAAAAGAAAATTACCATTCCATATTTCTTATATTTTAAAATGCATAGATAGAGGAGCTGGAATACATATGTATCAAGCCAATCTCGCATTTTATACAATAATTTTTATTCTCTGTAGTGTAAAAATACATCTGGCTGTCAATTTATCAGAAGAAGAAAAAGCTGACCCTGATGCTTTAAAGAATTAGTCTCAGGAGAACTGTGGAATTTTACCATTACATTTCAGAGTAACAGAGGTGATAAAAACAGCCAAAGTTAGAACATAATTCTGTTAGCTGCACTAATAATTATAAGCTTCAGTGACAGGGGAAAATGCTGCAATTACTATGTCATCTGTCTTGTCATGGATTGTGACTAATTACTATCCTGGCTATGAAACCCACTCTGTTTATCCTTTACATCTAAAATGAAGAGATTCACACATTTATCAGCAATCTAACCACTTATCTCTTATCACTATTCAGAGCCAGTTGGGACTATTTTCTACCTTCTTAAGAAATAAAGAATAGTAGCTGATACACCACGGATCTTAAATGTCAGAACATTCCTTCTCGCCTTCCTGCTTGTGAGGAGAAGATTAAATAGTGCTTTATCCATGGGAAAATTGTGATGAAGCACCATTATTATCTTGGCTTTCTCCACTTTGCTGGGAGATACAGTATTCTACTAGTCACGAGGCCATTGTTTGCTTTTGTTTGATGCGTGTCTTCTAGCATGGAATCTGCTCCTCCTGATTTCTACTCACTTACTTCTGCATTATAATTTCTAGCTGGTACTTCTATGGAGAAGAAAGGCAGAGTCAGTTTATGATCCTTCTGGGATTCTTATGGCTTGCCGAAAAAAAAAACAAACAAAAAAACCCAACAAAAACCCCACTACAGCAATACTCATTTCAGCTACCAATAAATATACCAATACCTTCAAGCTGTCCTGTTTCTTTCACTCGTCAGCCATGAATATTCTTTGTGGTGCTGCTGGCTGCTCTGAATGGCTGGAGGCCTTGATTTTTCCACCAGCTGAGCAATCCAAACATAGCGGGGAATGGGCAACTATTGTAAGTACAAAACCTTAATTGAGTGAACCTAGCTCTTGCGGGTTATAGTAACTACTCCGCACAGCAAACGAACTGCCCCTAGAGTAGAATAGCGAGCTTGAAGTTTTGATTTCCCTACTGAATTGAAGGAGGGCTCCCTAAGGTTAGCAATGTGGTCTTCTCTGCTAAGGAAATAATCAGTTGGTTACAGCTGCTTGCAAAGTAATGTTTAATGAAATTATTTTGGAAGTCTTGTTCTTTTGTTAAATGCCTAATTACTTCAGGCAACTGCAAAATGGGAGGGAAAAAAAAAAAGGAAATGAGTTAATTGTCTACCTTTACAGTTAAAATCCAAAAACTCAAAATCTCCTGTGTAAAACACTGGAAAGTCTCTCAGCAAGCCAAACTGGTCTACGCTGAAATAAACACATACTATCCCCAAGATTAAAGGAAAAGCAGTTCTGAAAGGAATAAGAAACAAATCAATCGTTTCTCACAATCCCTCATATATTGTTAGAAAAATTCTGGAAATCAAGGTATGAACCTTCTACAAATCATACTTAGTCTATGTTAGTGTAGGAACCATTGAAATACTGAAACACAGTAGATTTGGGGTACATTTGTTCTGTCCCAAGCTGTCTTGAAAGGTGAAACTATTGTACTTCTAAGCTTTCAGGTTTCTAGATTCTACATCTGCCACACCTGCTAATAGCTGCTTTTTAACATTAAATTAACAGCTATATAAATGTATATATATATTTACATATATATATAAATATATATAAAATATATTTTATATATGTAATTAAGAACACTACAAATTTAATAAATGAAGCTGTCCACATAACTGAGTAAATGCTTTGGTACTTGAAAGGCATGATTTTACTATATAAAAGTAATTTAAAGACAATCTACCAAGCATGGACAATTTAAATTTACAACAAGTTTGGCCATGTTTTCCTGACCTTTTCCTCTGCCACCCATTCCCATCTTTTCCTTCTTGCCAGCTCCACTGTTCATACAGGTGCAGGATGAGCTGGGTCAGGGGAAGTAGCTGAGCTGAAAACTAACCTGCCATTTTACACTATAAAAAAGCAGAGTCAGAGTTAAGGAGGTCTAAAGTACCTGCAAAAGATGACCAAAAAACCAGTACAACATCCTGTCCACATATGGATGCAGCAAGGATGCCTGTATCTCTTTTGGAAAGTTAAACAATTAACCTAAATCTTAAACAAGGAAATTTTGCAGAATGACTATAGACTATGGTGCTTATTTCCTCACTACTTAGTATCTCCTTTGGTGACGCACAAATTCAGAGACAAGCTCCCAAATCCAGTTTGTATGGGAATTTAATTGTTCAGAATTAATCATTAAGGAATAGCTAAGCATCAAAGTTAAGTACAATATATATGATTGGAAAAAAAAAGGAGTTCTCTTCCATGTTACCTTTACAGCTCTGATTCTACCTCTCCTCTACCCAGCTCTGATTGCAGGCCCATGAGGCCAAGGCAGATGCTTCACAGCTGGTTCAGGGAAAAATCTTTAGGCACTTAAATCTACAGGAATTTCAATTAAGAATTTGATACCTGGCCCTGGTTTAATCTAAAAGACTGGATTATCACTGATAAAAGAGGCTGCTGAGGAAGCTCAGGGATCACTGAGGCTGTGATCATAGAACTGGGTGACATGGAGAAGGAGAGACTGTGCCAAAGTCTCTTCAGTTAATGGCTATCTTGAAGCTGTTTTTTCTGCTCTTAAGTGTACCAAAGTAGCAGCATTTCAGGAAAAGTCACTTTGGTTCACCAAAACTTAGAGTGATTAATAGAATTAGTGCCTGATGAGTGCCACATGAGTTGCAGTGGCACGATCTGGGTAAAGGGACACCTAATTAGGGTATATCAGTGTCAGAGTCATGCTGCTGCACTGCTCCTCCCTTAGGCCGTGAGGGAAGTCAGCTTGTTGTCCTGCCATCCTCAACTTTGCTGCCAAATTAATTCAGGCAATCACACTCCAACCTTGAAAAGAAGTAAAAGACAGTCTGCATGTTAGGAGACTTTGTGCTGGCACAGTTATGTGGTGCTGGTTCAGCACCAGTAGCAGTTGCCCCTTCGGGATCACTGGAAGCTGGGCTAAGACCTTCATGGAAAGAAAGAGAAAAATAAAGAATCCAGAGAATCAAGATATGCCCTGGACTAAACTAGTTATTCAATTTTAAAAGTTTAGCTAGTGGTGCTGATGTTGCGATCAGGAAAAGCACTTGAAAACAGTCTTGTGTACCTGGCACGCCACAGGTACCACAGGAAGCAAGGTTAATGGAGTGTATGGAGTGTTAGAAACCAAAACATATTTCTCAAAGTATTAAAGTCCACATAGTGTAAGAAGCAGGTAGGATGTCAGGAGCAAACACATGTAAGGAGACATCCTGCATTTGTTGCCAAGAGAGTTCTGGGATCAGGTGAGACGACTAACCCGACTGAAAACTTACCTGTACTGTTATTCTATAAAAAGGTGGGCTAATAGTCAAGGAAAGAGAAACAACTGCCCCTACCAACACATGGCTAACACACGATGAACTTGTAAAGATACGATACAACGCACAAGAACAAAACCACAGTTAGGCAAACTCCAACTTTAAAAGACATTGCTAAAAACTGAGGCAAAAAGGTGCAGCTAAAATTCATATTTTCATATAATCAAGAGTAAATACTCACGTGAATAATATTCTTGAATTAAAATACTTCTGTCTCGTCAGTGAGTTTGTGATCTGATACTGTTTTTAAGGATAATTATATAACATTACTCCCATATTGACTACATCCACGATTTTCCACAGGAAGGAAGGACAGACTGAATTAAGACTATATAAGCAATTTAAAGTATAATGTTTTTAAATCATGTTACCAAAATTGCAACATAAATATGTTAAACTATATTTTATACATTGATTGCAGGAATTATAGTCACATCCCAAGAGATTATTAAGCTTTAAATAAATTAATCTCTAAATAATTGTATTTAAAGAAAGAATATTGTCACTGGGAAGCTGTATTTAATTTTTTAATAAATTTCAGCATTAGCACTCATATCTGATCACAACAGTGACTGTGCACTTATAAGCTGGTTTGGCATTTTTAGCATTAAAACATTAATGCCTACCAAATGAAGTTCCACCTCAACCTACATGTGATATAATCACAAGACTTATTTGCAGTAAGAACTCTCCAGCAGCTTTCCTTTCCTGTTTGCTCCTGCAACAAACCTGCTGTATAGCTCTGGGGTTAGCAGGGCCTACTGCACCCAGTACTGAAGAGCAGACACTTTCTTGCTTTGTATCCTACATGCTGCTAGCAAGCTGTCCACTCCAGTTCCAGCATTACAGATAAAATTCCTATAATGCTTTCAAATCTTGGCAAAAGCAGCATTTCCCTGCTATCACAGAGACCGAAAGGGAAACCATAGGAGCTCTTCTGAGATCCCACTGCAAGCTGGGGTTCAGTGCAGCTGCCACGGGTAACCCACTGCTGCTCAGAGCCTGGGCAGGGCTGCGCTTCCCTGCTCCCCCATAGCTGGAAATTAAGGCTGCGAATCCTCTGCGGAGGCTACACCAGCTACCAGAGCAGCTCCAGAACCGCAGGCACGACTCAGGAGTCTCACAGATCGCTCTTGAGCTATTGGATCTCCACCTCTAGCACTTGGAAAGGCACATGAAACACTGGCATAATGCAATACTGTTCATTTCAAAGCGGTATTTTTACTGCCAACACATGATTCTTATTCTTATATTCCATTATAACCACAGACTAATAAGAACTGAAGACAAGAAATATTGTCACTAAAGTCTCTGAAAAGAGATACTTGTATCCTGTTTTTCTAAGGGGTTTCATTCTATTTTAAAGGACATCAAATTACTAAAAAGAAACTGTGCAATTTTATTAAGACTTTCCAAATAATGCCATGTAATAAAAAATGCACTTATTTGTCAAGTTAGCTGTAAAAAGAGATCTAGTCAAATGCTTCCTGTGCCTTTTAAAAGTTACAGTTCAAAATTAACATTCAGTAAAAATGCTGATATTAGCAGTACACACCCTGGAAATCCTTATCAACTTTGCAAAAAAAATGATTACATAAGTGCATTCCTCCTTCTAGTCTTTCCATCTCTAAGCTCTTCTTACTTGCTAAAGGCTGGCTTTTTCATCCAAATAATTAATCACAATTTTCATAGCAAGGAAGAGGCAGAGGACAAGCACTGCTTTCTTAAAACTTTCTATGGTTATTAGTTTGGAGCGCCTAATTTAATGACAAAATCTTGGTTTATTGGAAGGCAGAATGATGGCGAGGGATGATTCTGTGGTCTTTTTGGGTTGAAAACATTAAGGACTTCCGTATAATAATGCCTTTAACTAAAATGTTTAATCCACGTATATTTAGAGGTGTGATGAAACCCAATCTCCACACATTAACAGGCTATCCAGTGTGAAGAAATCAGAACAGAACATTGCAATCATCCTACACTATTTGGTGTGATGACATATGTGCTAAAACAAACCAAACCAAGTAATTCAGCTTGTCATTACTTAAAAGCATTATAATGTCTTAAAGACTTATTCAAATTTCTAGAGAGATACTTACCCTTCTACCAAGACACCCGAACAGCACTTATATTCTGATGCAGTGGGAAAAGGAGAGCAGCTGTGCACCAGTTAGCTGATTTTAACAAATTTCACTGCTTCTGGGAGGCGTCACATGAAAACAGACTAGAAGCCAGTCTTTGAAAACTGCTTCACTACGACCAAGGAGTGAGTAAATAACAGATTCGTAAGAGCTGCATATTGCTCTATATCTCAACAAAATTTTGATTTCAGCTGATCAAGTCTTTCTTCCGTATTTAAGGGAAGTCAAACCACAATGCAGTGACTGAATTCAAAATATCAACAATAAGTCTATGTTTACCTTCATCCTATCCATGTACGCTTCCATTTTTAATTGCTCCACAGCTTTCCTTGCTTGGGATATGCTGGTTGTACTATTGGACATCAGCTCCTTCATTCTGTTTTCCTAGAAGGGTCAAAGATGAAACAGTTGCAAAGCATAGGCCAGAGGAAGTAAAGCAAAAGGAATAACTTTTAAACTGCTTTCATCTCACAAAGCACAGATGTACAAAGACAATGCCAAGATAGCCGTTCCTTCTCCCTTTTAAGATATGTACATAATCTGTGCTGAAAAAATGAAATGGTAGAATACAAATAGGATGGTGAATCATGCTCAGCACTATCTTGTAAAAACAAAATAACATTTCAATACTTGTAAAAAAAATAAATTTAAGTTAAAGCAGTTGTATGAAAACTAAACAAGAACTTTATATTTGCCAGTACAAAGAATGTGTTTCCTACATATGTGTTAACTAAAAGAACGGAACCCAAGTTTCTCCTTAAAGTGCTTTTTCACCTGTTAAAACCATGTGAAGTCACACTATCATCTTTTTTTTTTTCTTTTTTCTTTTTTTTGCCTTTGTTTACATTCTTCTAGCTCATATTCATCACAAAGTACAGAACTAAATACACGTGCAGTAGTTGGCTCTACATTAAATCCAATGTACAGTACAACCAACCTCCAACGAATTTTCAGATTTGTTTTGACAAATGCAATGGACAAGCAGGAAGGATATCTGTCATTCACAAGATTAGTGTTCTGAATTCTAGCTATCTCTGGACTTTTGCTTTGGCCCACACTACTATTTTTCTGTTTTCCCTGTAAAAATAAGAATCAACCTATTTATCTCTGCTTAAAATATTATATTCCTACAAGTAAGAATGACTTGAATTTTATCTCCATGACTAGACAAATGACCTCAGAGCCAAAGAAAAAATAGCAAAGACAAATAAGAGAGAGAGATATTTATTCATTTGCCACAGCTGAAGTCCAGAGGCAAATCAGAAATTTAATTGTGTATAACTCATTTAAATTAATTGAGCTAAGCAACTGAAACTCCACAAATGGCCCAGATTATTCCAGTTGTCCCTTGCTTTTCTGGAAATTCATCTCAAACAGTGCAAGTTATAAACATTGCACCAGACAATCTGAACAGCCACAGGCTGGATCACAGTTGGAGAGAACACCACTTTCTACTACTTTCAGCTAGTTTTTAAGTTTCTATCGAATAAGAGATTCGGTTAAGACCACAGGGGAATGTTGGAAAGGAATAACAATGCATTTAAAAATCCAAACCATATTTCGTAAGCAATGCCACAAACACAGTACATCCTTACCTATATTCTGAAGCAAGAGAAGGAACAAAAAAAAACATGCAACTACTCTGGCAAACTGTTTCATAGTATCAGAAAGCAGTCAGAATAAAAGAGTCCATAAAAAGAGATCTAAAATAGCTATTTTGGTCACCAAAGAACATTTCCATTTATCCGTAGTAAGAAGTTTGTTTATACCTGGAAGCATAAAGATTTATTCTCTTCTAAACCCTACTCCTACGCTAGCCTTTACATACATTTACATACTTAATTGCTATATTTCTGGGAGAGTTCGATATCCATTTAGATATCTGTTCTCTATTTTCATATAGACCATTCTAGTTTACAATGACTTTACAGACTTAGTAGACTTTACAATATCTCCTCTTCACATTTCACTTACCAAGCCAAAGGTATCCCTAGCTCCTTTCACTCTTTGCAAACTGCATTTACACATCAGGTAAGGCCCCATCACGTGTTAAACGATGCTGACAGTGAGATTGCTCCCACTTTCAAACCAAACTATGGGCTACAGTAGGCTGAACATGTCCTCTTAGCATTTATAACTTTGGTTCAGACCTGGTTCTGTTCTCTTAGGGTCTACAGTACTCTTTAGTGTTCTTAACGCTACTATTCTTTAATTAAATAACATTATTATTTTAGTAATAAGCCACTCTATTGCACACCCTTTCTGGAACAGTCCTTGCCTAGAGTCCGTCTTCACACACAGCTGTGGGATCTCTCCCAGTGCTTCATTTCAGCCTGTAGCCTGACAAACGGCTCTCATCTCCTCTCCTGAAAGCTCCTTTTAAACAGTCCCATATTCTTTAGGCTTTGATTGTGCCCAGGATGGCACAATATTTATCGTATTTAGAGACTAACTAGAGAAACTCTCAAAAGCAAGAACTTTTGCCCATTTTTTAAATTACTTACCAAGCCCTGAATCAGAAATTACTGAGCTGAGTTCCCTACATTGACTCCTGCTTGGATTTTCCAGCAGACCGTTATTAAGTTAGATCAATCTATACGTACCCGGGATCTGATTATCACCTTAGTTAGTTACAGTAATTATGTTACTGATCAGACTACAGGCAGTCTGCACACAAGGGCTACATGCTAGTAGCTCTAGGATACATAGGAGCTCGTTGTTCAGTCTCCGTGTTGAGGTCTCTGCGACTCCTTTCTTTAGAGGGAATGTAGATCCCATTAACAAAGACGAGTGACATCAACTCAGCTATGTGGCTTTTTCAGACCAATAATTTCTGCTGGCTGGCAAACCATGTTTGTCAGCTGTTTTCCAAGGCATTGCTCTTGAGAGCTCCATAACAATATTCCTCCACCTAGCTGAAAATACCTTTTCTTTTTTTTAACCTCATATGAGCTTCCTTCTGTTTTTCCTGGGTGCTGGTAACTTATCTGTGCCAAAGATTATAATCTCCAGGGCTCATAAAAGTGTGTGTGAAGAACAACTTTTCTTTATTTGTTTTTAGAATAGATTAAATTACACCCACCAGCACTTCAAAGGTCAAGTATGGCCCGATAACACAGGAAGTTGCATAAATACTTGCAAGTATAGCTCGACCTTGCACAGGTAAGGGGTACAACCTACATTTATCAAGCTCTATAAACACTTGGCAGTAAAATGGTTGGCAAAAAAAAAAAGGCCTGAAAAAAACCCAAACATGTAGCAGGGAAGCAAAGCATAGCTTTTAAGTTCTTCAGTGCTTGTATCTTATCATATACACGGCACAGATTTCTGATCGATTCTTGCAGAATCAACTAGATTTCTACAAAGAATAAGGATAAAAAGACGCACTGCAGGTTTTCCACTTTCCACTTCCAAGTATAATCTTAAAACATCACAATAAAAGAGCATCCTGCAGAATTAAATGTACAAATCCTCAAGGCCGATTGTTGTTTTCTATTTTGTTTTGGCAACCTTGGCCAATTTCAATGGCATTGGTAATTTCAATGGCATTGAAATTACTAATTACTAGTTTTATTGTACGACCTAGAAAACCCAGTATCCAGGTTTCTACAGAAGGTCTTTCCCT